TCTCTCACTGTCCCGTTACCCAGGTTGGAGTGCAGTGGTGCGACCATAGCTCAATGTAACCTTGAACTCTTGAGCTCAATCAGTTCTCCTTCTTCAGCCTCCTGAGTAGCTGGGACTACAGATGTGTACCACTAAACTCAGCTAATTTTTTAGTGTTTTAGAAATGGAGTTTCATTGTAGTACCCAGGCTGGTCTTGAGTGCCTGGCCTCAAGCAGTCCTCCCACCTTGGCCTCTCAAAGTGCTGGGACTACAGGCCTGCACCACCTCAGGGCATGCACCTGGCTTGAGAGTCTTATTAATATGATAGTAGTATAAAAATTGGCCTCAATAAGAAGCCTAATTAAGGAAACATAGGCCCAGAAAGTTTAGGTCCCTTACTGGAGTCATTCATTTGGGGAATAGTCTAGTTGTAGGCCTAACCACTGTGAAACTCAGCTCTTGGTCATTGGTTACTGTGATGTTTCCTGGTAGATGTACCATTTTCCAAATCAGATAACTGTATCTCAAATCCTGCTGATTCACCTCAAGGCGTGGTATCATTCACATGTCAAAATAAGACACTGACCAAAGTGACTTAAGTCGTACATGATAAGTTAAGCACAGGTGATGGATGCACCTCAGACTATTTACAAAAGCCAGGATTCCAGAGAGGCTCTCTCATTACTCAGCTCCTGCAGAAAGCCCTCTGCCGATGGTGCTCTTCGCAGTTGTGGGGAATGACATACCTGGGTGACAAAGCATCATGTGCAAAGGCAGCACCGGTGAGGGCTGAGGTGGTGATGGGATCAGGAAATAAAAAGCCAGTAGTTTAGTAGGCTGGAGTTCATTGTTTGAGTCTGGGAGTAGAGAATAAAGGGGAGTCAAGTTTACGTGTTAGGCTGTGGAGGTCTTAAGGACTTTTAAGGAGGGCTCATGGGTCTGTGACATAGAAAGGCCTTGTTTTTGGAGCCCGGATCTAGGGGAAAAAGGGAGGTAGGGCCTTAGGAGGCCGCCACAGGTATCTTGGCAAGGTGTGATGGTGGCTTAAACGAAGGCAGTGGTTGTGGGGAAGCAAAGAAGTGAATGGATTCACTAGGATGACCACATTCTTTCTGTTATTTTTTTTTCTCCCTTAAAGCAGCTTTTACCCATATCTTCCAGTTATTCCTGGAGACAGGGAGATGGACTGACTAACTTTATGTGTAGCTGTTGATTCCATGTTGTCATGGTTCATGGTTTTGGACCCACATGTCACTGGCTCCATTCTCTGGCTATACAGATGGACCCCTGAGGAAACAAGGACAGCTTGCCATTGTTACCTTGTTTTCACTATTATATATTAACCATCTCAACAGAATAGACACATTTCCTTGTTTATATAAGCACACTATGTACTTCGGTCAAAATGTTCTGTTTCTCAGTATATGTAAATCTTTCTATATACGTGTTAGCTATACACAGTAGAAAATTGTGTATTTATTCTGTAGTCAGAAGGGTGAATAGATGTTAGGATTAGTGTTTTCTGCTACTTAAATTTTTGTTCTGAGCTTTGAAGACATTTAACCATCTGTTTATGACTTTAAAGTGAGTGTTTAAAGTAGAGGCTATGAATAAGTATGTGAATCATGAAGATATATTGAAAGGGGTACTGTCAGTAATGAATTGCCACTATACATCTTTTTCAGCTGTTTTTCCAGCTTTTAAAAATGTCCAATGTAAGCCAGGCTCCATGGCTCAGCCTGTAATCCCAGCGCTTTGGGAGGCTGAGGTGAGTGGATTGCCTGAGCCTATGGGTTCGAGACCCACCTGGGCAACTTGGTGAGACCTCATCTCTACAATAAATAAAAAATTAGCCAGGCGTGTTAGTGCACGCCTGTAGTTCCAGCTACTTGGAAAGCTGAGGTGGAAGGATTGCCGGAGCTCAGCAGGTCAAGGCTGCAGTGGCCAGGAGTGGCCACTGCACTCCAGTCTGAGTGACAGAGTGAGACTCCAACTCAAAAAAAAAAAAAAAAAAATGTCCAATGTAAGCAGATAGTATTTTTAAGGAATTTAAAAATGTCTAATGTTAACTATGGATTTCTATCTGGATTATATCTTTCAGGTAGTGATGTCAGGGTACAGGGTCACTTCATTTACATTTATAAGAATCTTTTAAATATTTATTTATTTGTGAGTTAGGGTCTTCTGATACCCAGGCTGGAGTGCAGTGGCATGATCATGGCTAACCACAATCTTGACATCTTGGGCTTAGGCCATCCTTCCACCTCAGTCTCCTGAGTAGCTGGGACTACAGGTGCATGCCACCACGCCTGGCTAATTTTTGTGTGTGTGTGAGAGTTGGATGTCTCATTCTGTCACTCAGGCTGGAGTAAAGTGGCATTATCACAATGATCACAGCTCATGGCAGCCTTGACCTCCTGGGCTTCAGCGGTCCTTCCACCTCAGAATCCCAAGTATCTGGGACTATAAGTGTGAACCACATTGCCTGGCTATTTTTTTAAAAAATATTTTTTGTAGAGATAAGGTTTTGGTATGCTGCCCAGGCTGGTCTCAAACTCCTGGGCTCAAGCAGTCCTTTTGCCTCAGCTTCCCAAAGCACTGAGATTACAGGCATGAGCTACCGTGCCGGACTGTTTTATCTTAAAGTAGTTTTTAACCCATGTTATTAATTATTTACAGGATATGTATTTATTTAGCATTGATATAAAATAATTTTAATAAAAAATGAAATGCTAGATTCATTGTTCAACTTATTTTCAGAAATATTTAAAAACTAAATTGAAAATGAGGTTGGGTATAGTGGCTCATGCCTGTAATCCCAGCACTTTGGGAGGCCAAGGCAGGAAGATTGCTGGAAGACAGGAGTTCAAGATCAGCCTGGGCAGCATTGCCAGACCCTGTCTCTACAAAAAAATTTTAAAAGTAGCTGGTGTGGTGGCATGGCCTATTGTCCTAGCTACTTGGGCAGCTGGCAAGGGAGAATTGTTTGAGCCTAGGGGTTTGAGGCCACAGTGAGCTATGACTGTACCACTACACTACAGTCCAGCCCAGGTGGCAGAGCGAGACTCTGTCTAAAAAAAAAAAAAAAAAAAAAGAGCATAAAAAGAAATATAAATTAAGTTGAAATTAATGATTTTTGAAAGCCTTATATTCTTTTTCTCCAGCCAGATATAGTAGACATTTATGAATGATTCAGTTCCCCTAACTTTTCTGTAAGAGAATGAATAGTGTCTTCTCCCAGCCTCAGGAGACTGACTGGTTCCAGAGAGTTCTTTTTTAAGACTTTAGTTTTCAGACGGCAGTATAAGAATTCCATGAGTTTTGGAGCTGGACACATATATGCATATTAAATTATCTAGCATTTTTTCAAAATATACTTTCGTTCAGTATGAACATGCAAGTAGCAGTTGGAACAAAGATTCCATTTGTCAGTTCTCATTTCTTTTACTTGTAGTTGAAATCATGTTGGGAGTATGAGTAAATTTAAATATAAATAAAATAAAACAGTCACTGTATTTCCACTCAGTTACAATGTAATCAAGTCACACAATTGCATAAGTTAATATTATAGGCCTAATGCAAATGCTAATACATTTTGACCTTGGTTTGTACTTGAGGTTGTTCTCTGGTAATTGCTGTCATCTTGACAGTCAACAAAGGGGACCAGCAGAGGTGAATTTTGTGAGAACAATTTGCAGGGGTTCAGACTACATAGGGTACTGTGGTGTTTTGTAGTATTGACTACCCTTTTTAATTTCTACCTGTCAGTTCACTATCCAGTGGTCCTGGACTGGCTATTATCAACAGGTGCACTAGTTTTGAGGAACTGCTTTAACTTATTAGCTATTTTTAGCCTTTGTGTAAACATGTAAATATGAGTACCTGCATTAATAATCACCAGGTTTTCCTTTTTCTACTGTCACATACAGATATAATTTTTTATACATATGCCTGTATGTTTATATAGGTTGAGTATCCCTAATCTGAAAATTTGAAATTCCAAATGCTCCAAAATTGGAAACTTTTTGAGTGCTGACATGATATTCAAGGAACTGTGGATTGGAACATTTTGGATTTCTGATTTTTCAAATTTAGGGATGCTTAACTGGTAAGTATAAAATGCAAATATTCCAAAATCGGAAAAAAATCCAAGATCTGAAACACTTCTCAAGCATTTTGGGCGAGGGATATTAAACATGTACAGTATGCCTAATTAATTCATCTCAGAAAAAGAACTTTTAATATATAATAGTTATTAAATATATTATTTAATTCTACAAGCCACTTCCCCTGTACTTACAAACTTGTCCAAAAAGCAAACATTGAAGGAAAAAAAAGTCTTTGCTGACTGAGCTTTTTCTTTGTGTTGGTTGCTACACAGAGCAAACCTGGGCATGTTGGCCTCATGTACTTGGGGTTGTGGATTTGCCATTATGATTTTGGCTAAGGTATTAGCATGATTTAGGCAAGATATGGTAATGTAGAATATGGATGTTATTCATCTTTTATTAAAAAATTAACTCCCCAAACATTGATAGCTTGGAATAAAAGAGGTAGAAAATAATATAAGAAAAGAAAAACACAAAAAGGAACTATACCACATTGTTTTACTGCCTCTGGTGGTATTCTTATAAATGATTTCCCAAAATGAATTTTAACTGAAAGCTAAAACCCATTATATGTTGGGCTTTGGAAATGTGTTTGTGTTTTCATGGATATTGTAATCCTTTATGGTAAATTATGACTTCTGATACCTTTTTAGTGGAAAATATAATTTGGCATGCTGAGCTTTTGGACCAGTGGGCTTGTGGGCCCATTACCTATGATGGAGTTCTCTAAGGCATAGGAGATGGCAGAAAGCAGGTCTGCCCTGTGGTATGCCTGAGAGAGTGCTTGGGCATGTTTGGAGGAATTCATCGCCACTGCAAAGTTTCCCAGGAAGAGTCATGTTCAAAAAGTCAGGATTTATAAGCAATAATGCCTTATATAAAATAAGGGTGATTTTTTTTTTCCCTTTCAGATTTTGGGGTAAGTGCATTCTTAGCAACAGGGGGTGATGTTACCCGAAATAAAGTAAGAAAAACATTCGTCGGTACCCCATGTTGGATGGCCCCTGAAGTCATGGAACAGGTAAAAAAAAAAAAAAAAAAGTGATATTTTCATGGACATGGTACACATCACGAGTACACTAATGTTTCATTCAAATGAATCCTTTCAGTAGAATGCATTATGTAACTAAGATTTCATTCTTGATTGCTAGCGCTCAGCAAACTAACGTGAAAGATGTTTATAAAAAGCTGTGAATTTCTAGCTGGGCTCGGTGGCTCAGCCTGTAATCCCACGCCTTTGGGAGGCTGAGGTGAGTGGATTGCCTGAGCCCGTGGGTTCAAGACCCGCCTGGGCAGCAAGACCTCATCTCTACAATAAATCAAAAGTCAGCCGGGCGTGGTAGCACATGCCTGTAATTCTGGCTACTCGGAAGGCTAAGGCGAAAGGATCGCCGGAGCCCAGCAGGTGAGGCTGCGGTGGCCGAGAGCGGTGACTGCACTCCAGTCTGGGTGACAGAGTGAGACTCCAACTAAAAAAAAAAAAAAAAAAAAGGCTGTGAATTTCTGAAATGATCTGGACTTCTTGATATGAAATCTGCCAGCTCTGTAATTGTATTTCTTTCTTGGTTTCTTTCTTAGGTGAGAGGCTATGACTTTAAGGCTGACATGTGGAGTTTTGGAATAACTGCCATTGAATTAGCAACAGGAGCAGCGCCTTATCACAAATACCCTCCCATGAAAGTAATTACAATTGGAAATATTATGTTGAGTTTGAAATGTGATTGAACGAAATCTGTTCTCTACTTCTCCTGAATGCCATCATTTTTCTCTTAGACCTGAAGAGAATTAATGGAGAAATGTAGCCAAGCTGAATGTTGTCAGATTTTCTCAGTGGACAGAGTAGGACAAACGTAGTACAGTTCCCAGCTTTGAAGCTTGCTTTACATTCTTAGCACAGAGTTGAGGAAAGAATGTGATCAAATTGGTCATTGGAAGTTGATAGCTATGACAGATGCTGGTCATTACTCTTTTGATAGCAGGACAACCCCAAGTCCCTAAAGAAAATCTAAAAATGATTATAGTGATGTCATCTTTGCAAATGGATTTCCCAGATTTTCAGGCCGCCTTCTTTTTTTTGTTGTCTTTTTAAATGATCTACAACATTTTCACCCCTGCTGTTATTGTGTAATGTTGGCATTTCATTTGATGTAAGTGAGCCACAGTGTTTTTAGGAAGTCACATATGCTTTGAATGCTATTTTCAGGCTTTTTGTTCTTCTTTTAACTGACCTGCCTCATTATTTCTGTATGTCCTGAGACAGTGATATCACAGTTAATTTACCCAACTGGATTTTGTTTTGAAGCTGAAAAACTCAGTGGAGATTGTAAAGCTATTTTACAGAGAATATGACCTGTGATTTTTTTCATAGTTATTGGAAAAATTTAAGAGAATAATAAAAAAAGACCCTGAGGATAAAAAAAAAAAAAAGTGAGCTTTACTGATTAAAAAAAGTGATACATTCTTTTTGTAGAAAGCTTGGAAGTACAAGTAAGACTAAAGAAGAAAATAATAATCACAATCCCATCAACCACAGACAATCTCTGTTAAAGTTTTAGTGTACTTCATTTCATTGTTTTTCTACATATATTTAAGTATATATTTTTTAACATAGCTAAGATTTTAGTATGTGGATATATTTTATATATAGTATGTATATATATTTTTTAACATAGCTAAGATTTTAGTATGTATACATGTGAGCAGGTACGTATTTGCATTTACCTACCCGATTTTGCTAGCAGAAAGTTTAAAGTTGAAGTGTAGACAGCGGAAATGACTGGCAAAAAAGCACTGAAGAAACTGAGGATTTTTTTCTTCCATTCGATTTTTCTCCCCCTTTCTTTCTCTACTTCCTAGTGTTTCCCACCTGGATCCAGAGTCACACTTGCTAGTCCCAGCCTGAAGCCCTCCAGGGTGTCTTGGGGGGGTCACAGTCCTCCCACTTTCTTCTCCTGGCTATTACCCTCCACAAACAATAAGCTGTCACTTTCATCCTTCATCTATTCACACATCTGAAAGTGTTTGAAGAGCCTTGACATGTATAGCATTTGCATAAATTGAGACTGATTTATGCATTAATGAGGCTTCTTCATCTTGTAGGTCAGTAGTTTTCTACATATTCTACTGTTGTAAAGCAGATAATTTTGATGTTAGTGTGAAAGAGTGGAAATTTTACCTTTTTGATTTAAAGTTGCATTTTGTTTTGTCCCCCTCCAAAATCATCATGGCCCTTTGATCTGATTATGGTTTTTAGCAACTCATTTATATCCTGGCTATCTTTCAGTGTCTTGCTCTCTTAATTTTGTCAAGGCTTTTCACAATTTTCTGAATGTTTTGTCATTTTTTAAAAAAGGAAATCATATTATCTCCTGGGATGTTGTGGTTTTATTTTTAGGGCTGTAATGTGTTACAGAAGGCTTGGGTACAGGCGGTTCCTTACTTATGAATGACCTGTATACATGAATGTTTACTGCTGCTCTGGCCCTCCTTTCCCCTCTGCCACCCATTTTCCCAACGAGCTAATGCTAGAGCTACATGCTCCTTGAGGCCATGTGAGAGCCAGTTCCCAGAAAGCCCTGTCCCGGTTGCTTTGGGAGCTCATTCATAACACATGGAACAAAATTTGTAAGTTCTGTCAATGGAACAACGAAAAGGTTAAAGGGTACATGAACAGTTTCGCAAAGGGAGATGAATACTTTCAATGCACAGCTTCTGAAAAGTTAAAATCATGGGAAAGCACTTTTCTACCTAAGCTATCTATCTTTGATGCTTTTGTGAAAAAATTAAAAACTCAAGTGTAGCAATCGCTGTACTGAGGTTTTTTCTTCGTGTTTGTTTCTTCAGGTATTAATGTTGACTTTGCAAAATGACCCACCCACTTTAGAAACGGGAGTAGAGGATAAAGAAATGATGAAAAAGTACGGCAAGTCCTTTAGAAAATTACTTTCGCTGTGTCTTCAGAAAGATCCTTCCAAAAGGTATGTCACACTTAGTGGATGAGTTAGTTAATGGCCTGGTTTGAGTCATGACAAAGCTTTGCTTGTGGATGGGAAAAGGCTGTGTGAGGACACTTGGAAAGTTACTGCTAGTCTCGAGGGAAGCCCTGCTCTGGCCCCCAGACTTCCAACCTGTTGGTAGAAGACAGCATCAGTCCGAGAGAGAGAGGTGAGTAGAGGACGAGGCAGAGGCAGAGGAAACTTTTTGGTGTTAATGAGATTTACTGTGCTTGTTAGGTGTGGGCTCTGTCTTCAAAGGAAATGAAGTAAAACAGAAATCAAAAGAAATTGGCAGTACTGCATGCAGAAGCTGAGCTAGTATTCTACACTGTGTAGGTTGAACTGACCTCTCAGGATTTGAATATCCTGCTAGCTCCAGTCTAAACCAGGCAGAGCTCCTGAATTTTGCATGAGCTTCCTTTTAGTTGCAGAACAAGTTGTTTGTTCAAAAGATTTCAGTAAAGAAGATTAAGGAGATTTTTACCTTAGAATGATTAATCATGTAAACAGAAGCAAATGGCTTTAAATTAATGTTAATGTTTCCTATTTATTCTTGGGTTATTGCCCTGCACTGTAGTTTGTCTGTTTTCCGAGTTCCTTTCTTCCTTCCTAATTTCTGTGACTTTGACATAGCTGAGGTAGTGATAATGGAGCCCACTGTTCTTTATCACCTAAGGGGAATGTTAATGATGTGAACCACACACAGGCCTTGGTTTCTTTGTAGGGACTTGGTTATGTTGTCCTAACATAAACCAGGAGAGGCCTCTGAGAAGTTACTGTCAACTCTAATCCACTCAGGGATGTAATTTGACATTTATATTTTGAAATGTAATAACTGACTTCTCTTTTTCAGGGAAGGATTCTGCTGTTAGGAGCAATTCCATTATTTTTATCTTAAGTTCTTATGAAACTTGTTAAGACTTTTGCCTCTACACAGTAATTTACTGTTTGAGTAACCTACCCTTCTCTAGATTAAATGCCATTCTTTGAAGCTGCTACTTTTATTTTTCTGCATTTACTGAATTTGCCTTGAATCTTTTCCACATTAGTCACCTTTCTCATGGAGCCAGGCTAAAGACTGTTTGCTATTAAGCGTCTTGAATTTTTTGTTGTAAAAGGGATAATTATTTTGTCATAGCTATAGGCTATTTCTGCTTAAACATCTCAGTTGTCCTTTATATTTGATTTGTAGGGCTTGTTTTCCCTCTAAGGTTTTTTGATCTCTCTTTGAGATTATTTCTTCACTCTCCTTTTGAGTGAACATGCTCTTAGATTCTAATTTTGTTCTTCAACATTTGTTTGTGTTTACTGTCATCTCCAAAAGAAAACTTGTGACAGGACCAAGAAGACAGAATTGGATCCGCCATAGCCCAGTGAGAGAAGGACTTGGCTAGTGTAGTCCTGAGTTTTTACTGATGATCTTTTTGATTCTTGAATTACAGTAGTTGAGATCCCACCTAGTGGTTGTGATGTGTAATGTCACACAATTCCGGTTTAAGAAAATGGTCTTAAGAAAACTTAGTTTACTTAATGTTATAACAATATATTTAAAATTTGGTCAAAATAAATTAGATTGACATAAGTTATATTTAATAAAATATTTTCATTTCTTAATCTTGAGAGGTTTTATTTATATATAAACTCAAATATTAGGTTCTTTGTAGTCTACCAAAAATAAAAAAAAACCTTTAGAAAACAGTCATCCACTGTATATTTAAATTCTTTCAATACTTTCTTAATAACATTATTGATGTATAAAGTAGTAATCATTTAGTGACTTGTTTTAAATGTTTTTTTCAACAAGTGACTCTGTTTTCACTCTTATGTAACTATTCTTTATAATAAACAGCTATAGACTTAGTGGTGCATCAACTTCCCAGGTGGCTCTTTCTTTTAATGAAGAGACACAGGTGTTGAGGATGTATGGGAGGAGTTGGGGGAAAAAAAAAGTCATGAAGTGTAAGAATGGAAAAAAGCAATATTGTGGAATTATTTTTATATGATGCAAGTTTAAAATATGTATTCATTACTAAATGGGTAAGTAAACATTTAGTTGCTGCACAATTCTGAGAGAAACCGTGACTATTTTCAGTCCCCTCTGCCTGTGCTTAAGCTGCTCAAGAGTTCTTGCTCTTCCTCTGTTTCCTTTCCACCCGTCTTTCTAGGCTTAGTTCAGATTCCTAGCTCTGCTTCAGCATCATCTGCATGATTTTGTTTCCTTGTCTGTATAGTAGGCTTAACAATACCCACTTTATAGACTCACTATGAGGATGAAAGGAGGTGCCCTTAAAGAAGATAGCACGGTGCCTGAAAAGTCCTTAAGTGCTCAGAAAATTGAGATTGCCATTTCTTTCTTTCTTTCTTTCTTTCTTTCTTTCTTTCTTTCTTTCTTTCTTTCTTTCTTTCTTTCTTTCTTTCTTTCTTTTGCCTTTTTTTCTCTGAACAAGTGGAGTTGTTGCAACTTTTGTGTAATATCTACAACTTTTTGAAGACATGTCGATTACATTGTGCACGTTTATTGATTTACACACTCATACTCTTCATGAGTGTGTAAGTTTTTTAGAAGGAGAAATTATCTTTATATCTGATGTCTGGCCTGTATTATATATTCAATACTATTTCTTGAACAACTGGATATGGTTGGGAACTTGCAGTTTGGGGATGATTTGGACCCATTGAAATGAATTTTAGAAACAAAAACCAGATTTAAGTAAGTTGAGGAGTGACTGGAACATTTTTTTGCCACTTTTTGTTATTTCTGTTGCCTGAATGCACATCTTTTACCTGTAATCTGAAAGCAGTTGATTGGTGCCAAAACCTGGTATTGTTGAGTACCTTTTGAGCAATGAATGAAGAAGTATCACAAGGAAGCAGTGACCAGGACAGATTCACCCCTATGTATGATTTCGTAGGCTAGCTGAAAGCAGTAGGCTGTGGGTTTTGTCAACCTTGAGAGCTCATGAGACTTTCCTTATAAAAGAGAGCTGGGTGTCAGAGCCCTTTACGTCATCTAGGTCTGTGTTCTGCTAGACAGACTGGCCTATATTTGCATAGCAGAACATCTTGCTATTTCTTAAAAAAAAAAAAAAGAGCCTTAATCTTGTAGATTTTGTGCTTTGTATGGATGGCAACTGTAAAAAGAAGTAGGATTTTCTTTGAGCTATAAGAGGGTGGATGTTGCATAGATATATCAGTAAGAAATGAATAAGACTTGCATATTTCATCTGGAGGAGTTCTAGGGGCAGAAAAGTAGGTCTGCCTGAGGTCAAAGGGCAGTTAGTACTTTTAATGCAAACTGTTAGAACTACTTAAACTGTATCATATTCATCCTGAATCTTTTGAAAATTATTTTCAGTCTCAGTGGACTTTGGTTCATCCATATGTATTAACTGAATCCTTTAAGAGATTTCCTTCTGAGAATGTTGGTACTTGCAGACTACCTCATTGTTTTTAAGGGTTTAAAATTGAATCATCATTCAAAGCTTGGACCATTATTTTGGTTGCTGGTAGCATTTTAGCATTTCTTGTAAAACAGCATTTGTACTTACATTACGTTGAACTTCTCAATGATTATTAGTAGCTGTGTAAAACATGACTATGCTTGCAGAATTCTTTCTCCTGGAGTACTCAGCTAAAAAGCAGGCGGCATTGATGGCTTCACATTAACCATGCACTGGTAGCTGCTGCGGCATAAAACTCAAATAAATAAAATCAAAACCAAAAAAACCTAAAACCAGTTGGTCAGCAGCCACATCAGCTTTGCTCATACTTTCTGTCACTTTCCTCCCCCTGTCATTTTCCTCATTTCTTCCAGTTCCGTACTTTCTCATGGAGATCGCTTGACACATGTAGAATTTTACCCCAAAGCTATAAATACTTCAGCTGATTTGAGCACAAAAAGGAACCAATGTTATTTTGTTATTCTCTGTGTAGAATTGAAATGATCTTGTACTTAACATTTAAGCCTATTTTTAAAAAAAAGTAGAAAAAACAGGACTTGGATTCTTTAAATCCTAGTTCTTCCCACCATTGTGTTTTTGTATTTACTGATGAAGGCTAGGAGTGAAGTAGAGAGCAGAGAAAGGCATTTTCTCTGCAGCGTGCTTTTCCCCCTTTACATTTTTGGTTACCATAGCAATGACCTCCCTGGGGAAGGGGGAGTACTTTCCCAGCCCCACATCTCAAGGTATGCATGGCATTTCCCAGCCTTCTCTCTACATCCTCCTGTACTTGACCCTTAATGTGCAGAAGTGGGGGCGGGCGGGGTGGGGGGGCAGTGGTGCAGAGGAGACAGGGAAGCCCTTTGGCTCCCCAACTACTCTGCTTTTTGCTCCTTTTTTTTCTTTCTAGCATAAGTCTTATTTTCATTGTCTTTCTGCATTCCCCATTCCATTGAACAGATGTTTAGAATTTGGTGCTAGCTAAATCTAGTTCCAGGAGTTGTAGTGCTGTGTCCAAATGTCTAACAGCATCCCTTTTCCCCCATATCAGATTATAGTATGAAATTAAGCCATCGCAGTTTCTGTTCTGTGGTAGGCATTGGGAATGTAAAAAGGAATCCTATGTGATCTCTGCCTCAGAAGGGCTTCTAACCTAGTGAGGGGAGGCAGGGAGACATAGGAAGAGATAAATACTTGATGGGGGTGTGGGTAGCCTGGTGCCTGAGTGCCAAGTAGGGAGCAATACCTTCTACTTGCAGGAGCTGGGAGAAGTATCTTTGAAGATGATGACATTTAAATTGGCTCTTGACTATCAGCGAGGGTGTGCCAGTTGGTTATGAAAAATTCTGAAGCAAGAAAAGAAATGTGTGCTTTGTCACGAAAGAGCAAGAGATGAGTGAGAACATCATTATAATGGAAGGACAGGGTCTCCGTGGGATATGAGGAGATGAGGATGAAGGAGTAGGGGTCTAGAAAACTCACTTTTCTCTCGGGCCACCGAAAGAGTACATTGGGGTAGATAAGAGAGTGTCAGTTTTGTTTTTGTTTTTTAGATGCTAACTTGGGATGTGGATGATGGATGATGGGTGGGAATGAGCCAGACAGGGGTGGTAGAGAGATTAACTGGGCGGCTGCTTGTACTGCATTAGCCACAGATGATGAGGGCTTCAAATAAAACAGTGACCTTAAGTTTTTTCATCATTCTGATTTTCATAGGGTTCTCTTCACTTTTTAAAAATTAAGGCCTAGTTATTTGTATGTTCTTGGTTTTTAATATTTTGTTTCCCGTGACATTTTGGTGCATTTCTCAGTCCTTTTTATAATGGTTCTACAGCTCCCTCAGGAGCCCTTCTTCCTCCCAGACACCATTTCAAGGTGTTGAATGCTCCTCTGCTTGTCTCACAGTTTAACAGCACACTCTGCTCTTATCTACTGGATTGTGGGTTGTCAAAAGTATTATTTATGTCTGTCATATGTACTATAAGATGGCACCTAGCATAATACCTGACAGACAGTAAGTGCTCAATAACTTTACTGAGAGAAAGTTGAAAGGATGAATTTGGAATAACTGGAGGCCAGAAACATTGCTGATGATCAGGAAGACTGTGCATTTAAAATAACCACAGTTACAGCATGGAGAAGAGTGTACTATAGTGTTTAGTTCTAGTGGCTGTTTAACCGGGTGCAAATTCATGGCCCACTTGTTGTTTAGACCTTTTTTTCTCAAGGCAACGAGCAGCTAGCAACTGTTTATTATAGTGTATATGGAGATTCACAGTTCTTTGTCAGAAGAAACCTGTAACCAGTGTTCCACTTAAAATCTGAGGAGAAAAGCAGTTATCAATTTAAACAGAAAGTTTCTTTGCACAGAAACACAATTTATGGCCCTTGTAGACTTTCACAGTTTGTGCACCGGCACTTATGACACTTCCTAATTCTTTTTTCCTCTTGGGTTTGGTTCCTGGGAATGTTTAGTGGAGCTTCCTGATTCCAAGCAGTGGTTTCCAATCGTTTCAAGTATGAGGATTCCTTTTAAACTTGCGTCTTCCTCAGCAATACTATATGTGCCTTTGGTAAGCATTGTCTGAGAGAATACCTAAATCATATTCAGTAATGCTTCCCTCTTCCCCGTAATTTTTTTATTATGAAAAATTTTAAATATATAAAAAAAGTAAACAAAAAATTGTACAACATTTACTTCTGTACCACCACCTAGATCCAACAATTATTAACATTTCCCATAATTGCTCACTTACCTATATTTTATTTGCTGAATTCTTTGAAAGTAAATAAAAGAGACTTAGTTCTTCAGCTTACATTTCCTACAAATAGGGACATGTTCCTACACAACCATAGTACATTTCCACACCTAAGAAAATGAAGAGTACTTTACTAAAATTATCTAATATTTAGCATATTTACACATCTCAAATTATTCCCAAATGTCTCTTGTAGCTACTGTCACTTTTCCCCCAGACCCAGGATTCAGTCAAGGGCTATGTGTTACACTTGGTTTTACGTTTTGTAAAGTCTGTTTAATCTAGAATAGCTCCTTCACATCTTTCCCTTTCCCCTGTGGCACTGACTTTGAAGCTATTGAGCCAGTTGTCTTGCTGACCATCCTACACTCTAGATTTGTTTGAGTTTCTTCTGCATGGCCACTTTTTTTTTTTAAAGGAGCTATTGATGAAGGAAGCTATTCTTTATGGAAGAATGTCTGTTTGTAAACAAAAGAAAGATAGAAGTAGAAAATCAATATTCTGCTACCTCCTGTGAAATAATTATTTAAGGCAAAGTTGTTAACATCCTTAGGAGAAAAGTTTTCAGGAATAGTATATTCATACAATGCCAAAGTATTACCCAACACAATACTTGCTAATTGCAGTGGGGAAAACATGACCTTTATAATGGAAAGATTTAGGGCCTGGGAGCCAAGTGGAAGCATCACTAACAGTGGCATGGCCTCTAAGGACCTGCTTCTGAGGTATTGCAGTAAGAAGTACATGTCACTGTCTAGGAAACATTCCTGTTCCAAATGCTTCATCAAACCTATTCAAGCCTTCAGATCAAACTTTCAGTTTATAGGACATACGGGATAGAGAAACAAGTTAAATGACACCATGAGGAAACAATCAGATTCATCTAGTAGCGTTTTTTTAAGTGAATTTGCATTTTATGATTCACGATCACAGAGCATACCCTCAGCTGACAAACAGTAACCCATATACAATTGTGACAGGTTTTTCTCAACTGTCAGACAGGTCTCGGACATGAGACTTGTGGACCCCTTGCAGTGTCTGCTGCTTTTGGGAAATCAGAGAACACAGCAGACTAGTTTCTTTAACAGGGTCATATTGCAGCTTGTACAGTTTCTTAAAAAATATAGAAATTTAGCTTGCAGACATGCTGGTCTGCCACCTTTTGAAAACACTGAATTCACTTAGTGAAATGTAAGGATGAAGGATGAAAAATTGATTATGCCCCAAGCACTTACAGGAGTTTATGCGTTTTGCAGTAGAGATGTTTGGAAAGAACTGGAAGACTGGCCCTATTTTATTTGGTGCCAGCTTATGATTAATTTGGTTTCTAGTTTTGCTATTCCTAAAACTGGTCTTCCAGAAATACTCTAAGGTTAAGTTATTTCATCAAGGCAGTGTATTTATTAAGTGGTCATTGTTTCAACTCTAATTTATTATTGATCTTTCAGGCCCACAGCAGCAGAACTTTTAAAATGCAAATTCTTCCAGAAAGCCAAGGTAACATGCTTAAAAACCCAAGTAAATCTACTATTTTGAAATCACTATGAGTTTACATGTACCGTATTTGATGTTAAACTGTTGGGGATATTTGTTTTGCAGAACAGAGAGTACCTGATTGAGAAGCTGCTTACAAGAACACCAGACATAGCCCAAAGAGCCAAGAAGGTAAGTACCTTGGCTCTCACAACCCTGTAGGAGCCAGTACCCATCTAGGGAAATGGAACTCATAGAAAAATAGGAAAATAGTTTCCACATACTCAGGATACATTACTTATAGGTTATCTGACTAGAGATTACTCCATTAGCTGCATTTTCCTTTTGGCTCTCTCAGCTTGTTATGCATGTGGGTGTGGAAACAATGTGGAACCCAAGCGACTTTATGTTTCCATTTTTCATCTTTGCTTATAAAAAGGTCAGAGAGAAGGGGATATGAGGGGGTTTGGAGAGTTAAAACATCCTATCTATCTTTCCTGTGGGTTTGTTTCACAGAAGAGTCATGGTCAGTTTTTAAACACAGTTTGAAATGATGAAGACGAGAAGCAAAACTTTTGTATTTCATGGTTGTTTGAATACCTGTGAGAAATATTTCTTTCCTTATAAAGACCTGTGGTCGCTTTTGTAGTCTACCTTATGTTAACTGAATTATGTTAATGATTACCTGGAAACTTTTCCATTCGAGGTTTTAGATTTTTAAAATGGCATGAATATGTGTGAGTGTATTTATCCAGAGTTTTATTTACTTGTAATTATCTATTTGGTTATGGAATAAAACCTCTGCTTTGTTTTAGTTTGGTTTGAAAATTATATTAGATATTTATAATGAAAAATATTTATATAGTCACAGATTTAAAAAGGAAGGCTCTTCCCCCCCTTTTTACATTTATAGAGAAAGCTGATATGAATCTGAGTTGTGAGTGCTGTAAATAAAATTGGCAAAGAAATGTGCTTTAGAGATGGCATCTAAAGATTTTTTGATGATACCTCAGTATACATATCTGAATATTAACTTCCAGACATTTCCTTTTCTAAAATATTGTGTAGAAAATGCATTTGGTGATGGCTTAGGATTGTTTTAAACAGACTTTAAAGTAGACCTTAAGAAATGATCTACCCTGTGCAAGTATCTGAGCTCCTCTCCTGGACCAGCACAGTTGTGTGGGACAGACTGTTCTGGACTGGGGGTGGAGAGGATTCGTGTGTTGCCTTTGGAGATGTGAGCCAACATTGGGCTGCCAGACATCTCTGAGGAAGCTACGAAAGTTGAGAAGATGGTCCATGAGAGTGGCATATCCAAAGGGGCAGCACTGAGAAGCTAAAGTTTCAGTTTGAGGCCACCAGGGTTTGAGGACTCCTGTCAGAAGGCTGAAAGAGGAACCTGGAAACATTCTGAGGTTGTTAGAGTCCAGAACGAGGTCTTTTGATCAGGTGTCTAAAATGTCAGCCAGGTTTGAAGAAAGCTGCTAAAAAACCATTAGCTTGTAGAGAAAGTGGCTCCAAAGGACTTTTTGATTTTTTTTTTGTCCATACTTTTTATTGCTGAAATTGTCACTTGATTTCATCCTGTTAGCTGTTCCCAGGGAGGCATTTCCCAGGCTGCTTTCTCTCCAGAGCTTAGGCCTCACACTTCAGCTCTTTGTTAAGTGCTCTACTATCCTCCCAGTCACTTCCAGCAGCTCACTGACCCACCCACACCTAACATCTCTGACGCTGGGATTATAAGTGATATCTCCCCTCCTGCCTTCTCTTCCCGTCTTACCACTTGCCTGTCCTCTCTCCCCATTTCTCTCTGCAACTTGCTCATAACCTTTTCCTCTTCTGTTTTTAACTGGTCAACTGCAGTAGATTCTGACCGTTCTTCCTCCATCCCTCATTTCTATTCTTCTATTCTTTCTCAGGCACTATACAAGATTGATTTCCTGATCATGCCACTTAACTGCTCAAAAGTGGTTTCCAAAATTGAACAAAAACAACCACAAGAGAAAATATATGGAAAAATAGAAATTTCAAAAATGATTCCTGCCTCATAAAGGCTAAGCTCCTTAGCCACAAATTTATGGCCCCATTTCAACTCCAGCCTTATACTCTATCCTCCAGCCAAATGGAACCATCTGTGGTTCCCACTGCACAGCCCATGCTTTCCTTTGGGGCTCCCATCAATTTGAGAAAATGAAGAATCTGTTTAGGCTGTAACTTTTTTTCTCTTTTTGTTAAAAAAGTATTTATTTATTGTGTGTTAGTGTGTTGTACATTCCACAACCCATTTTGCATGTATCCTAAACAATAGGCAGCTCGAATTTTGAGTGATGTGGTTTTTCAACCTTATCTTCTGCCATTGACTTGCTCCTTGATTTTAGACGTAAACCTGAGGGCTTGGTACATCATCCATCCCTCCAAATGGAAGGTGGCTGCGGTCTCAGAGTCACACAGAGGAATAAAGGGAGAATATAAATTAGTTCTTCAAGCATCTTAGTGAGAAGAGAGTAGCCCATTGTAATGTTATCCTGGCTCTGTAGCTTCATTAAGTTGACTATTTTCCTGTCATAATTCTTATTTTAATGTGCACTTGGGTCATCACCTGCACTCTATCCCTTCCTGGAGGTTCTTTGGAAGGTACACTATCAGGACGGCATGGATCATGGTGCATTTCTTGTTCATAGTAAGTGCCCATGAATGTTTGCTGACTAAGGGATCACATGTGCTTGGGTGTGCAAAGGATAGGCAATTTGAAATTCGGTTTTTTCACTCACTTGATCCCCAAAATACTTGGCATACACTTGCACCTAGGATTCCTGTTAATAGTGGGCAGTGTCCCTTCTCCTGGTAAACAACTATGATCATCCTTATTGGAAGCTTTTCATACAGACTTGGCTACTAGGAAGTTGGTGTTATTTAATCATTTTTAATGTACAATGAAAGCCTTTATTGTAGGACATCTTTGCTTGTCTTAGGCTCTTACAGTGTTGAAGTAACTTTTGTTTGAAAGTTGATTCAGGGCGTCTTTAGTGTTCTTGGACTTTTCTTTATTGAGATCTCCTCAGCTCCCCACTTTCCTGTTTGCTGTGGTGCCTCCTAGTTGACCTTGCTCTAGTTTCCATGGTGTGGATTTGTTCCTCAGAGGCTATTTGTATGATTGTCCTTTGATTTTTGTCTTCTCGGTATGCTATTTTTCTCACTCTGTTGCCCAGGCTGGAGTGCAGTGGCACACTCATGGCCACCCCAGCATCGACCCGCCGGGCTCAGGCAATTCTTCCGCCTCAGCCTTCCAAGTAGCCAGAACTACAGGCATGCACTACCATGCCTGGCTAATTGTTTTAGAGTTATTGTAGAGATGAGGTCTCCCCAAGTTGCCCAGGCTGTTCTTAAACCTGTGGGCTCAGGCAATCCCTTCACCTCGGCCTCCCAAAGTGCTAAGATTTCAGGCTTGAGCCACTGCACCCAGCCACTATTTTTCAAATAGAAACAGTCCATTAATATACCAGTGTTTTAGTGACACCTAGACCTGGGGCAGAGCTGTCAGACATTAAGGCAGCCATGTTGATTGAAATTTACTGCCAAAAACAACATCCTCTTTTTCTTCTCCCTAATGGTAACCAAAAGAAGAGGTATTTCTTAATATGCATTTTTCTTTAACATGAACAATTTTCATATTTAAAAGAGAAGAGGAGCTGGTATTGTGGCCATTCTTAGGAAGTCCCATGGGGTCCCCCAGTGCTGTCCTTTGTCAGGAGAATGGCAGAGGCCCATCATACCCATGTTTGGCCAGAATGATGCATTGGTTGAGCGCCTCATAATTCTATGAGGGTAGGAGATCTTGTATTCATCCAGATTGATTCCCTTAAATCATGAAAAAATTATAAAATGGGAACAGATTGGTTTGACTTCTCTGGTAGGTTAGTATGTAAAATGATTTTTTTGTGTATGTTGGTAATTGTAGAAATTAGGGACATTTGTTTTCTTGCCAGAGACAGAGTATTCTATCCATTTTGGTTTTTTTTTTTTTGCCAACAGTGTTGTTTAGGAATCATCATGATTTTCCTTGGCTCTAATTTTTCTGTCTGTGAAATAGAAATTCCATCTGATCCTCATCATATGGTGAAAGGTAACAAGAGATTGGGTGTTCCTGGACCCTAACTCTATATATTCTAAATGAAAACATGCTAATAATGACCCATGAGAACAGAGTTAAGTGCAGCTATGCAGTGTCTTTTCAACTCCTCACTGTCTGTGCATGAGAAGAAAAGGCTTCACGGTCATTACTGATCCTCTGGGGCCTGTCTCCAACAATCTTTTGGGGTTTGAAAACTTAACCACATGGCATTCCATCATTTACTCTACAGGATTCACCGGGTAGGGAGGAGAGTCAATCATCTGTGAAAATTGAATGCAGATGTGCATCTTCTGTAGGAACACTTAATCCTTAGAGTTGGCTGATATGTAAGTTTTAAGTTAGTGATATGCTTTCTGTGGCTTTCTAAAACCCACATATGGCAGGATAGAGGGCAAGGGGCTAGTAGCTACACAAATGTCTAAATGCCAACTGCTCAGCCAAAAAAGCATATTGGCCAGAGAAGGGATAGGTGGAAAAATGTAATACACAGTTCTTATTGTGGTTGCCTGTGTTTTCATTGGAAGTAGAATTATTGGAGGATTTTTCTTAATCATAAAATTGAGAAACTAGAAATTATTAGTCATTATCAGAAGGAGGAAAAGGTTATTGTGTCACTGCTGTATTTGGGTGGAACCACTGTGAGTTGGAAAGACTGGGACATTGTTTATATTTTTATTTTTGGTCCCAGAATTTCCTGTATTCGACTGTAAGATTGGTTTCATGTAAAGGACCCCAGGCTCTTAGCCCTGTTTGATCCTCTTTTGTGCCTAGGAATCAATGGGTAGGAATGTTACAATTCACATTTTTTGATTATTTACTGTGTGTTGATAGCTTGTTCTCTTTGTCTTTACTTTTTTAAAAAAAATTTTATTATACGTGTTTTTTGAGTCAGGGTCTTACTCTGTCACCCAGGCTGGAGCGCAGTGGCATGATCACAGTTACTGCAGCCTTGACCTACTGGGCTCAGGTGGTCTATCCAACTCAGCCTTTTGAGTAGCTGGGACTATAGGCACACACAAACATGCCTGGCTAATTTTTTTTTTTTTTGAGTTGGAGT